TGACTCAGAAATCTCTGTGGCAGATTCTCCTACATCTATTTAAACTCTCAGAACCAGCTAAGCTATAGCCCAGCTATAAAGGAAACAGACGTGTAGAACGAAGCACGTTTATTCAGTGGGTATGTTGCGGATAAAGGGTGTACGCAGGGAGCTACTCATGATCAGGATGGGGGATTAGGTTAAACAGAGGTTGATGATTGGTCACTGTTTGTACGGTCGCTGCACACAGAGTTGTACGGCCGCACCTCCCAAACCTGGCGAGCAGACAAGCAGGCATACGATGACGCACACAGCGATAACGTGTCCCACAGTATAATCACATGATATCGTTTCAGGTAACTTAAATAAATTGTAAAGAGGCCACACCGATTGTGGGAATATGAAAATGGTGGTCGATACCATAAACTGCCCATATCTATTGAGATACATTACTGGCATGTATTAATATGCTAAAACAATCCGTGAAGTTAAATGCATTTAAAAACGTTTACAAAAAAATTGGAGATAAAAACTCGAATTATTTGATAGCGGGAAAGTGAAAAATTTCTTCGCTAACTATTAGCACAAAGAAAATATTGGCTATAATGTTAAAGTAACCATACCTGGGAGCTCGAAAAATATAGCTGGTTCAAAAATAAGCCCTAAGCTTTGGGTACACCCCTGCACTGTTCGGGATTTGATGAAAATAACTTATATATAGTATTAGCAAACTTAAGTTGTACTAATGAAAAATTATAATACCTTCATCAAATGCGCGACTTTATGCACCCTCAATTAAAAGCACAATTGCAGGCACAGCAAAGGTCACAGAGAAGGACGATTCTAAGTACACAATATCAGTACACAACTGAAAGTTCAAATTGTTGGGCTTGCTAGGTAAAGTTGAACAACCCTCAGGTAACTGAGTAAGAAGTAAACTCGCTTCATTAAGCTACATTAAAGAGCGCTTCTCTTCACTCATATCAGAATGAGAAATATCCCATTCAAGAGTACCAACTCATGACGTTATTCAACTTCAATTGATCACAAAACACCGAAACATAGATTTGTGTTCGACTGTTTTTCCCAGCGATTTCAAACCAACCCACTCAAGCCAAGAAAGCAAACGGAACAATACAGAACAGAAAGGAATGTGATCGCTTTATATTAATTAAAAGCTCCTTTCAAAATCTAAAAGTAGTCTAACCTAAGGGGTCAAAATGATAGAAGGCAAAGTGTTCTCAAAATGCACAGTTTCTATTTGTTGAAATGACGGGTTCGTTAGCATTACTGGTCCATACAATCTTTAACAAAGGCCATGAGATGAATATCTTCAATCTTCGTAAGCATGGATTCACCTTTCTTATTGACCAATAGAAGTGGCATATTTTTTCCATGGCAAAACTCAACGATAACTTGACGGCAACGACCACAAGGTGTACTGAATGCCTCCCGATCCACAGCCACCGCCATGGCTACGAATTCACGTGCACCGGCAGTGATTGCATTACTGAAAGCGCTGACTTCCGCGCACCAACCACAAGGAAATGAGGCATTCTCAATATTCACACCAGTGTAGACCTTCCCATCCTTGTCCATCACGGCAGCACCGACTGGGAAGTTACTGTAGGGGCTGTAGGTGTTCTTCAAAACATCCAGTGCCGCCTTACGAACCATTTCTAACTCCGGGGAGAGTTCAGTTTCCATTTCCAGCAAAATTATATATGTAATTGGTAACGATCGACATATTTATATACTCACCTGCTTAAAAGGACATCACTTAATCCTAAAGTTAAACAATTTTAGTTTATGTCCAAAAGAACAATATGTTATAATTTTTTGAATAAAATAAATATTGATTTAATTAATTATAAAAAATTAAAAATAAATGGCAATTAAAGGCACCAATTAAGGAATATAATTCCCGTGTTTGAATACACTATTTTTATATTTTCAGTAGCATGTCTATACAAACTTAGCCGAAGTGATAATTTTAGGTTTGCCTTAATAAATCTATTCATTGTGAAGTGCAATATTATCTTGAAAAAAGCTTGTACTTGGACTTAATCAATTACGATTTTTGGTGCAATAATAGGCGCAAAAAATTATGTCACCAACTAAATGCATAGGCCGCACCTAGTTTTTCAACTGGAAATGGCTTGAATATGGATAATAAATGGCTTAAATCAATATTAAATACTTCTTCCATCCTAACTATTTCATCTAAACTCTCAATAAAGAAAAAAACATGAACTGAGGCTGCAAATTCCCACCCTTCCTGATTAAATAAAGTGTCAATAAGAACTGGCCATTGTTGGCAAGTAATTAATGCAGTGCAGATAAGAAATTCGAGTTGTAAGCTATAGAACGTGGTCTACTTATTTAGTGAATACTCTGGAATCTGAATCCTAAAACAATAAACTGAAGTAGGTGAACCAGATATCTGAACGTTGGTCTCGGCATTCATTTTGACCCTCAACTTCGTAATTAATTGGTCATTCTATTCTGTAGTTAAAAATAAATTTTTTTGTGTGTGCATTAAGTGGTTAATACCAATAAAAGTAATAGACCTCCAAACCATACACATGACAAGCAACGACTATTGCAATTTTCTCGGTCAAAGTTAATTAATTTGAAGATCATATTGACTTCCTGGAACTGAGATTCACTGATATAGTCAGCCCTCCATTTTTGGCTGAAACTGAATACCATAAGTATTGTAAAATGCATCGCAAAATGTAAAGATGTTGCTTGAAATCCCTAAGTCAAATTGAAATTAAATGATGCAACGAGCTAAAAATATGTGTCACTTTAAATTAATAGCTTTTTGTGATATTATTTACAATGATTCGTTTCTGGTGGGCCAACAGAACCACTATCGAGGAAAATTGAAACTCAACATTGTCACTTTAGTCCATTTATAATTCTGTTAATAGTTAATTATAAAATATTACACTAACTACAGCGCAATGAGCAGATGTTAGTTTAATATCTCAATTTAACTTGGCAATGGGTGCAAGTCAATTCATTGTGCCTCCAATGTGGAATGAAAGATTTGGGTCTAATGTGCGAATGGCCCACGGAGAGCCAAATAACCTCGACAGGTACAAATGAGGGAGGGATAAGTGCAATCAAAGCCAAGTAAACAAATTTCACTAGAGGTTTATTCATGAAAGAACAAAGAAATTTGAAAAAAGAGACAGTATAGGCGCAAACCATCAATTGCACGCGATTGTTCACAGCGTCGAAAGTAGTGTTTTTTGCACAATTGTATGCATCGCATTACTTGGAGGTGATAGGCAGATTTCCAGTTGCTTTAGTTTCAGTAAAATCCTGACGAGTAATAAGGGAAACTTTGAAATTTTATTACTGGCATCGATATGAAATTTGATTTGCGTTTGTTTAAAAAGAACTTAGAGAGAGAGATATACAATATTAAGAATAAAAAAGAAAGCAGTATAAAGCGAAGAATAAAACGACTTACTAACAAATATGCAATTTCTTAAATTTGTTGCAGTTCATAAAGCTTCAAAATACGATACCTCGATATAAACTATTGAAAGTAGATTTTTAAGGTGAAAAATGTCAATTAACTTGCTGAAATACGGAATGAATTATCATTGCCAAAGTAATTACTGAATTAACATACAGGGTAACAATTAATGATGATGATTAAAATAAAGCATATTAAGACACAACTGTGGCAATTAATTCACATCATGAAAATTATAGAATATTTATTTATATCAAATGGCAGGCGTCTTGATAGTTATCATTAGCCCTTTAGTTGACTTCAGGCTTCACAGAGGAGAAGGAACATCTAAGTGGGAAATAAGTCGAGGGGTGGGGAGAGACAGAAGAGTGATTCAAAGATGTAAAAGAGACAGACACAAAGGTAGAAAAAGGTAAGAAGAGTACTGTGGAAATAGTCGAATATGGCATAGAGTGAGGTGGTGGTAGTTTGAAGTG